TCCTTTCTGTCTCTCCTCCTCTCTGTATATCTGACTGTAATAAAAATAAACAAATCTTTAAAAAATAAATAAAAATTAATAAAGTTTCATAAACATTGAGAACATTTCATGAGGTTCCTCCGTGTGTGAAGGACACGGTGCCACACAGGGAGTAGTAAGAGATGAGACTGCAGAAGGAGTCTTAACTTGGTTAAACACTTTGGACTTTAATCCAGGAGGAGGGGGAAGTGACTGAAGGGTTTTCAGCAGAGGACTCATCTGTCAGATCAACAAGAGAGCATCCGTTGAGCTGCACCGTAAGAAGGCCCACAGGGAGTGCATAGAAAAGGCCAGAACACCACCAGCGACCACCACAGCAGCACTCAGTAACGAGAAGGTCCCCTCAAAAAAAAAAAAAACGAGGAAAGAAGCATCACAGGCATTGAGGAAAACCAAGAGAGCCAGCCCTTCCACGCCGGAAGCAGGACCAAGAAGGATACAGCTGCTGAGAAAAGCGAGACAGCAACTGCAAATGAACAATTGGCTCAGGGGCAGCACGACTTCCGGTTCAAGCTGGGATGCATGGGTGATCATCCGCCCCGCAGGGACCATCCGTCCTTGGAATGACATCTCCCAAAGCCTCTCCCGTCACCTGTGTCTGTCCCATTACCACGGCTTGTCTACCTTTCTGCCAATGCACTTCCGTCTCCATTGCTAACATCTTACTTCAAGCTGACATCTTTTCTCTCACCAAAGCCACAGTAATAACCTAATTTTTTTTTTTCATAGCAACCCGTGCACCCTGACAAGCCAGTCCCCACGCAGCACCAGAGTAATGTCTATAACACATTACAAAACTGTGGGGGTGGGGAGGGAGGAAAGTGTGGTGGCTCAACAGGCTAATCCTCCACCTCCAAACGCCAGCATCCCATATGGGCAGCGGTTCATGTCCCAGCTGCTCCACTTCCCATCCAGCTTCCTGCTTACGGCCTGGGAAACCAGTAGAGGATGACCCAAAGGCTTAGGACCCGCAACCCACATGGAAGACCTAGAAGAAACTCCTGGGTTCAGATCGACTCAGCTCTGGCTACAATAGCCACTTGACCAGTGAAAGAGTGGACAGATCTTGTTTTTTTTCCTCTGTAACTCTGCCTTTCCCATGAAAGTAAATAAATCTTTAAAGACAAACATTCTGAAGCTGATCAGTTCTCTTTCAGGCTTCAACCTTCGAGAGCTTTTCCTCATGCCTTACAAGCATCCTGCATCTTACAACAGCAGACCTGGTATGCATGCACTCTGTCTCTGCGGCTAGGAACCAGAAGTCACACGTGAGGCGCTGTTATGCCTGCTTTGATGGTTCTGGGTGAGGTACTTAATTTCTCAATGCCTCCACTTTCTCCTTTGTGAGATGGGTTTAGCTCTTCACGTTAAGAATTAAATGTGTTGGGTGCTAGGAATATAGTTGCCAGTGAATTTTACTTCATTTTATTTGTTGCTTTAAAGATATTTATTTGAAAGGCAGAGTTAGAAAAAGAGGAGAGAAGAAAGAAGAGAGGAGAGAGGTCTCCCATCTGCTGGCTCACTTCCCAAATGATCACAACGGTCAGCGCTGGGCCGGGTGGAAGCCGGGAGCCCATCATTCCGCCCGAGTCTTCCACGTGGGTGTCAGGGGCCCACGCACTCAGGCCGTCTCCCACCACCTTCCCAGGTGCATTTGCAGAGAGCTGGGTTGGAAATGGAGTAGCCGGGACTTGAATCAGTGCCCACATGGGATGCTGGCACTGCAGGCAGCAGCCCAAGCCAAGGAGCCGCAGTGCCCTCCACACACACAGTAACAGTTGGTAACTGCTGACTGTTCCCCATTGTAGGTGATTTGAAGTTCTCCTTTTTTATCCCCTCATTTCTATCCAAGTTACAACACTTAAGTTATCTGAGAGAGGATTTATATCATTCATTCATGCAGCTTGTGACTATATGTATTTAAAAACTTTTATTTATATAACTTATTTGGGAAGGAAGGAGGGGCAGAGAGGAAATAAACAGAAATTTCTCATCTGGTGGTTCATTCCCCCAAACGAGGCCTGTAACAGCCAGGGCTAGCCCCGGCCAAAGCCAGGAGCCAGGAACTCATCAGGGTCTTCCTCCATGGGCACCAAGCCATCACCCTCCGCCTCCCAGGGGTCACATTATCAGGAAGCTAGAATCTGAGCCAGAGCCAGGACTTGAACCCAGGTACTGGGTTCAACCATTCACTGCACTCAATGTAATGTCACTTAGGGGCTGTTTTATTTACGTGTGTCTGCTGCACAACACGATCCTCTAAGCGGACAAAGAAAAATGTCCATTCCACTCCTAATTCTCTCCCTAGATCCTAGCAATAATGACCAGCACATAACAAGCCAGCTAGTTTTTGAATGAGTGTCTGATTAAATAGAGGCAAGGAAGAGGGAGCCCACAAGTACAGGAGACTTAAGAAGGCTGTGGGGGCTGGCCCATTGGCTCCACCTTCCAGGACCAGTATCCCATACGGGCGCTCATTCATGTCCCAGCTGCTCCACTTCCCACCCAGCTCCCTGCCTGCAGTCTGGGAAAGCCGCCGAGGATGGCCTGATGCCTTGGGACTCCGCACCCATGTGTGAGGCCCAGAAGAAACCCCTGGTTCCTGGCTTCAGATCAGCTCAGCTGCTGCCATTGTGGCCACTTTGGGGCGTGAGCCATCTCTCCTTCTCTATCTCTTCCAAGAAACATAAATCTTAAGAAAAAAAAAAAAGAAGAAGAAGAAGGCTGTGAGGGTGATACACATAGGGGGTCAGGGCTGGCAGACACTTGGAGCATGCTGAAATGCCAATGGGAAGAAGAGCCAGCAGAGAAGCAGCAGGCCAGCAGGAGTGAGGACCACGAGACTGCAAAGGGATGAGTGTTAGGCTGGAAGCCAGGAGGTGCGTTTCAGGTGGCAGGAGGGTCACCTCTTCAACGCAGGTGCAGCTCTAAGTTTGGTGGCAGCAAGTGGAGCGCTCTCAGTTGCATAACCCACCACCACAGGTTCTCCAGGAAGCTTGCTGGGCACACTGCGGGACGGCCCTCCGTTCACTTTGGCAAGCCAAAAAAGAAGCAGACGTCTTCATCCTTGCTGGACCACGCTGATTCACTACAGAGCCAAAGCCCTAGTTTCCAAAGCAACCTAGTGACTGAGCTGAGCCAGGCGAGTTCCCTCTCCAAAGACAGCCAAGGCTCAGGAAAACACTCAAAGGGCTACGGTAATGACGGCTGACGTCAGAGCAGCACTTACCACGGGCCAGGCCACCGGAGGCAACCGAGCCCAGAAAAACCGAGCAGGGGTCCAGAATCACACAGCTGGCAGCTAGTAGCTATACTGGGTCTACCATGCTGGGTGCCCCCTCTTCGGCAGAGGGGGGAAAGACCCTTTGGACTCAGCCAGTTCTGTGCCCTCACATCCCCTTGTTCACCAATAAAATGTAAATCAGAATGTTTGCAGGGCTTCTTGAAGGACAGTGAGCGACCCGAAGTGGAAAACGACTCTTGAAAAGATACTGGGATGCTAATCGACGGACCTAGTGTCCCCTTCTCCCAGCTTCCAAAACTGGGTCATCATCTGAGAGGCTGTCGCTGTCCAGCCCATAGTGAGGTGGCCCCGGTTCCCATGGCAGCCGGCCGGCTGGTCCTCAGCCCTAAGTCTTCTCCGTGACCACTAAGTCCACGTGGGCACCTCCTTCCTCCCCAGGCAACGACCCACACGCAGCTGCAGCCTCCGTGCCACTTTGCTGCCGCTTGCCTTTGCGAAGCGAGGGTCAGGAACAAGTAAACAGCAGGTAGACAGCATGACAACTACCCCAGCAGCTGTCCCAGGCTGCGGCTGAGGTCACAGAGCTCAGAGGCCGAGAAAACGCCAACAACAGGCTTTAGTGTCACTTCTCTCTCTCTCTCTCTCTCTTTTTTTCAGCGTAGGAAAACCCTGAGTGGGGGAAGGGGGGGGCTGACATGACGCAACTAGTTAGGGCCAGTAGCAAGATTTTTTTTTAAACTCACTTTTTCCTTGAAAATATTTCCCAGTACATTTGAAACAAATGATTTATTTCGCTTTGCCAAACATCCTATCTGAAGAGTATTTCCTACGTATTTCAGCGGGCACACAGAAAGCAGCAAAATGCTAAAGATAAAGAGGTCCCCTCCCCAAAAAAAGCGCCTAAAAATCAGAACCCACTTCCCCTAAATTCCCTCCAAGCCTGTTCTTTGAGTTCCCCGAATTTGCTATTTCAGGCAGTCCCCGAAGAACCCACGGCCACCTTCTAGGGAGTGGGGGGCCTCCGTGGGCATCCGAGCCCACCCTGCGGGTCCTCCCTCATCCCTTGAGCTCCGTCTGGGGAGAACAGCACCCGCCTCTCCCGAGCGGGGTGGGGGTGGGGTGTGGGGAGGAGAGGAGAGTCACATGGGGAAAGGCAATTTTAGCACCCACCTGGCATTCTGAGCGTTTGCTGGGATGTGGGCACCATTCCTTCTCTTCCTAGGCAGATAGCATTCGCCTTGGTTAATGACCTCAGACCTCAAGCCCACTCAGGATCAAGCCAGCCGCGCCAGGCCTAAAAATGTCCACCCCCACCCCCACCCCCCTTAAGACAGTGACTAGGCCAGAATTCTCCGGGTTGATAAATGAGAGGCGCTGAGGCGCGCGCCGTGATGGCTGTTCGCAGACCTGACTTGTGAGGTGGCCCATCTCCAACGCGCACCATGGAGAGGCTTCGGGAAGGCGAGCCGGCCCACCTGCCCGAAGGCGGACGCGAGAGAAAGCAGGCGGAGGAGAAACATGCCTAGAGAGGGGATGGCCTGGAGGTGGCCTAAGAGGAAAATTTGAAAAAAAGGACCCCACTGCCCCCCGAGACCGAGTCTCAGGATCTACTTCTCACCGGTGAGTGAAGGATTGCGCATCCCGGGGAAAAGAGGGAATTAGGGACAAAGGTGCGGCGCCTACGCAGCGGTGTCCACGCACAGCACCCCCCACGCACCCACTGTACGCCGCGGGGCCGGCGGCCGAAGCCAGGAGAACCCGGTCCGGAAGAAGGGTGTCCGCGGGGCAAGGACAGGGATGGAGCGCCGGCGGCCGACGCGTACCGCCTCGGGGAAGGTCAACGACCCAGGCCGGGGAACCGCACGGGCAGAGCCGAGAGGGGCCGCGGTTGCCATGGCGCCGGGCGGGGAGGGAGGGATGGTGGGGGTGACTCGGGCCCCGCCCCGAGCCCCGCGGGGCCGCGGGTCCAGATGGTCCCGGGCCTCCCGCGGGAGCCGGCGGCCTGCGGCAGGGGGAGGCTATTGTCCTCCTTGGCGGCGCCGCAGTCCCGCCGCTCGCGCCCGCGCGCCGCCGCCACGCGCCCCGCCGCCGCCGGCTCCCGCGCGCCCCCCGCGCCGCTCACGCCCCGTGACGGAGCCCGCCTGCCGCTCGCCGCCCGCAACCGGCTGTCGCGGCCGGTGTGAGGGCGCCCGACAGCCGGTGCGCCCCAGCCCCGCGCCCCTCGCCCGGCGCTCCGCACCCAGGTAGGTGCCGGCGCCCCCGCCCGCTTTGTCCCGGCCGGCGGGGCGGCGCGCTTTGTGCAGCTGCGTGCGGACCACCCGGTCGGGTCGGGTCGGGGTCCCGGCCGGCCGGAGCCGGGGCTCAGGGAGAAAGGGGGAGCCGGCAAGGAGGCTGCGGTGGCCGGCCCTAGCTCTGCCCCCTGGTCCCTTGGTGTGCCGGCGACTCTGGTCCCGGCGTGAGCGCGGCGCGGCGCGGGGGGCGCGTGGCCGGGGGTGGGGGTGGGGGGAGACGTGAGCCCTGCTGGGGCCGGGAGAAGAGTCTGGAAGAGTTGGGCGCTGCTGACGGGCGCGTGAAGGAGTCGGGCTCGGCTGGGCTCCGAGCGGGGCTGACAGCGCCTCCGAGGCTACCCCGGCGGACGGCAGCGGTCGCCGGCTCCCGGGCTGCAGACGCTCGCGTTCGGGGCCGTGTCTGCCGGCGTCTGCGAGCTCTCGGTTCCCCGCTCCGAGCTGCGCCCGTGGAAGGCTGCGGGGGTGGCGGGGAGCTGTCTGTGGAGCGGACGGCTTCCGCGCTCCACACTCTCCTTCCTGTTCCCAGGCCGTGTGTGGGAGGCGAGGACGCGGTTGGCCGTGGTGACAGCCGCGCTGACAGGGGGAGCCAGGACCCTTCAGGCAGTGGGGAGGCGGGAGTGTCAGCTGTTTACGCGCCCACAGATCCGCCCACGCGGGGCTAGCCAGCCGGACCTCCGGGCCGGGTGGGCTACGCGCGCGCTTCGGCTGGGAACCCACTTCACCTCATTAACCCGTCCAGGACGAGGCCCCGTGCGAGTCCCAGATGCGGGTTTACCCCCATGTTAGGCTGCTATGCAACCTCGGCCGTGGGCAGGAGAGACCCTCTCCCACGCCAGTTTTTGCCTCGGCCATGGGCAGGAGAGCCAACTGGGCAGGAAAACGCCAGTTTTCCTTGGAGGTGAAGAGGGCAGCTAGAGTCCCAGGTCTCTGCGTTTGCCTTGAAGTGCGTGACAACCTCCCGCGTCTTCAGAGGGAGCTAAGATGGAGCTCAGCTGTATCCCTTGGAGAAAGCGATGCAAGCCCAGGCTTCTGGAGGGAGGTGCCAAGGAGAGATTTGTCTAATTCTGTTCCTCACCCCCCCCAAATTCAGTGCCGCCTGCGGCCCAGTTCCTGAATTCATGCCCGGAGTGGGAGGGATGTCCCGGGCATGTCCCGGTGGGTGTGGGTGGGGGTGCTGCTGCATGGCTACCCCGTGCCCTGGAAGCCCTGAGTTTATCTGTGTGTTTTTTTTTTCCCCCTCTCTGCCGACACATGCACTTATTCTTTAAATCCACATGATCTTTACTTTGCCGAAGTCCCCGTTTCTTATCCTGCTGCCCGCCCACAGCTGCTCCAGCCCCTCCTCCTCCTCCTCCTCCTCCTCCGTGGCATCTGTGACTCCTGGTGTCAGGGCACCGGCTCTATCTGTTCCGTCGGCTTCCGAGCCCACTCCGTTTCTGCTTCCGTCTCTCCTCACTTGAGGTTCCCTCCCCAGCACAGGGCCTCAGCAGGCAGCGAGGTCACTGTGGGGCACTCCGGCTCCCTGCTGTTCTCAGCCCTCTGAGCTCCTCAGCCCATTTCACCTGCTGTCACTGACCTCGGGGTAAATGGTCGCCTTTCACCTGTGCTCCCCAGACCAGCAGCTTGGGTCGTGCCCGGGAAAGGGCTAGAAACACAAGGTGCAAGTAGTTGTTTAGGCTGGTGGTTAGGATACCAGCGTCCCACCCACATCACAGTGCCCTGGGAGGGGGGGAGCGGTTCTATTCCTGGCTAAGGCTGCCAACTCCAGCTCCCCACCAAAGCAGACGCTGCGAGGCAGCCAGCAGTGCTGGTTCAGTGACTGGGTTCCTACCGTTGCAAGGAGGCAACTCAGGTGTCATTCCCAGCCTTTGGAGCCATCCTTTAAAAAGACATACAGATTGAGAAAACACTGGGGGCAGGGCGTGGGGACCTGGGTTCTTAGCAGTCCTGCACTCCAGCTAGAGCAAGTTGGAGACTGTCTGGGGGCGTGCACCTAGACCCCCCCCCAAAGTCCTGCTGGAAGCGTGGGGCAGTATTTCTCAGACCCCTTTAAGGAGACTTACTCCAAAGTGGACGCTTGTGGTCTGTCTCATTATTGAACACCTCGTATGCAGAAAGGACACAGAGGAACTGGCTATAGACATGGAACTCAAAGAGTTAAAAGCACAGCGAGCGCGGGGACACCTTAAACAGCTCCCTGGATTGCAGGGCGAGCCGCGGCAGCAGGCAGCAGGCAGCAGGGATAGCCGGCCAGCCCGGGGCTGTGGGAGCCAAGGGAGGCAAGGAATACCTCTGGAGCAGGATGTGGTGAGAGGGGGGATAGGGAACAAGCCTGCCTCTCCGGGGATCGCTGTTCCAGCTGCGCTGGAGGCCCACCTGGAGCCAAGCAGAGCGCTGGTTCTGGCAGGTTCTCCCAGGAGAGCGCGCACAGCTGGCAGAAGCTGGCATTCTCTGGCCTGTGTGATGTCAGCTCCTGGTGGGAGGCGGGAGGGAGGTTGTTAGCAGCTAAGACTAGGAGGTCCTGCTGAAACTAATCTGGATTAGCTGCTGTGCGGGCCAGAGTTCAGGAATCCTTCAAGGAGGGAAACAAGTGGGCCGGAGGAGGCTCTGCCGGGGTCAGAAGGATGGGGAGCAGAACCCGGCAGCACATGGAGACACAGGACCATAGGCAGGGAATGCGTGGCTAAAGAAACAAACAGGGTCCGTGTGGGCAAGTGTGGGAGCCACGAGCCTAGGCCACAGGGCCAGGAAGTGGGAGCTTGGAGGCACACAGACAGGCTTGGCAGGGAGGGCTTCGAGCTGCAAGGCAGTGTGCAAAGGGGTGGGGAGTATAACCCCACACACGCTGGGAGCCCCTGGGACTTGGCGACCTAAAGGCGGCAGGACCTTCCTGGGTGCCCCCTGCACAGAAAGAGCGAAGTGTGTGTCATCTCCAACTTGATTTGACAAGAGGGATTTTTAAGATTTATTTTTATCAGAAAGGCAAATTTACAGAGAAGGAGAGACAGAAAGATTTTCCATCTGCTGGTTCACTCCCCAAATGGTCGCAACAGCCAGAGTTGAGCCAATACGGAGCCAGGAGCTTCTTCAGGACCTCCCATACAGATGCAGGAGCGCCTGGATCCCTTGGGAGACCCATGAAGAAGCCACAGGCAGGACATATGTATGAGGTCCTGAGTTGCTTCTGGGAGGTGGGGCGGGGGAGAGCTGAGCCAGTTTATCAACAGCGTCAGATACTTGACTTCCTGAGGCTTGTCTTCTGTGTAGCGAATGTTTGGGGCAGGGATGGAAGATGCTCCAAAGAGGTTGCTGAAATTGATGGGATCGTTTGGGTAGAAGGTGATCAAGCGTGGAGGGACTGCGGCCACATGAGAAGCACAGGCCCAGCTGAAAGTCTCCTGAGCCCATGAGTGGCTTCTCCACCAGAGAAAGACTCCCGGAGCGGGGTACGACCCCTGGGGAGCATGGAGGGTCGGGGGGCACTGAATGTTTGGGTCCTGGCAGTGTTGGTCCTGAAGCTGAGTGTGAGCATGGACGCTGGCTGGAAAGCCCTCATCGGCAGGGCCCAGCGACGCGGGATGAAAATGAGGGCCAAGTGGCGGATGCCTCGCCTGTCCAGCAGCCGAGGGCACGGGTGACTGTCCCCGTTCAGCCTGTGCCTCTTCCCTCAGTGCTCTTTGCTCAGGGTGAGTCAACTCTGCCCTCAAATTTATTTTTATATAAATATTGACAGAACAGATCCAGGGGAATCTGTCGGAGGGAAATGATGGATTTTGGACAGGAAAGGAATGCAAGGCCTCGGTGGAAACAGGGAATGCTAGGAGTCTGGAATCTTTGACCTTGCCCTTCTCCCGCGGGGCGGGGGAGCCCTCCTGCACTGTTTCTCTTCGGGAGGCAGGGAAGGGGCGGGCCACCCTGCTCTCCCACCGGGTCAGGTGCAGCTTGGCGGAACCAGTTCATGACAGAGGCCGAGTTCTGCCCGCGTGTACCCATGGGAATGCACCTGCCGCGCTTCACCAGGACTCACCTCCCATCATCCCCTCCTCCTTCCCCCAGACCACAGGAGAGAATGACGCATGTCCATACCCCCGTCTCCCTGCAGAGTCACAGACGAGCAAGATTTCAGCCTGGGCCCTGGAAAGTGGTGTGCAGGGTTTGGGAACTTCTAGAAAAGTCAGGCGTATGGAACTGGGGGCTCGGTGAAAGTCACAGAACATGCCCCCTCTACACACACATGCCACCATTGCCTTCAGTGGCTGCTGAATTACATAAGAACATTGGGCACTGAGGGGGAGGGACAAAAACAGTCCCAGCGACGAACCTGAGGCTTGGGTGTTGGTTTTGAGGACACATAGTGTGTTTGCGTAAGTCAGACTTCCTAGATGGTGCTCGGAGGCAGGCAGGAGTCAGAACTCACTAGCCCTGGGCCCTATAGGGGGTCAGAACTTACTAGCCCCGGGTCCTACAGGGGAGTGGCAGGTGATGTTGTTCCCTTCCTGGGAAGCCCCTAAGAGATCCTGGGAGGCCAGGACCCCGAACGGGGCTGCGTGGTTCACACCGTATCCCCCAGTAGCCCTCCTGTTAGCTGGCTGCTTGGTCCTGAGCCA